CCAGAGACATTAAAGACTGCTGGGGAACTTTATCTGTTTCTTGTTGGCAGTTTTATTCATGATTTCATAATTGCATTTTTGTTTACTCCTGACCTTGCTAGACATTTTATGTTATCAGTTTTATGTTTCTAGCAAGTAAGACACTGTGTTTACTGCCTACAGTACCTTAGCCAGGAGACTCCTTAAAATACTTGTTATCTCTACAAGGTTGTCTTGGTATAAAGGTTATATTAAAACAAATACACCCACTCTTACAAAGTGCTTTCAGTCCAGGTGGAAATATCAAATGTTGCTCAACATCAAATTGTTTGCCGAGTATATAATATACGATCTAATATCTCCTCTGCTCTAACCTTTTCATTTTTTTTTGCATCAATCTTGATACATGGTACTTATTATATGTTATAGTTTGGATTCCTAAAGCTTTTAGTCTACTAACCCATCATCCAAGGGTAGTTTTCACTATAAGTAATGGGTTTCTTTTAGGCGGAGATTAGAATTTACATGTTTTTACTATGTTCCATCTGAATTTACTTTAAAATAAAAACATCTATATTGATTCTGACACTTCTACATCCAACTCACAGATGTAACCTTGCTTTGAGAAAAAAGATTATTAATTTACCCCTTTTAGAAGTGAAGATATAGTCATGTGTTGTGTTGGTGGCATTTTCGAGCCTGAAACCTGAAAAACAGGCTCAGGGCTTAACAGGTTACCTAATGTTTGGATGAATTGGCATTTACTCAAGTTATACTGTTAATGTATATATTCCAAAATCAAATCCCTTCATCAACCTTCCCCTTTAAATCACCTGTCTCCAGTCATGAGTCCTGGGAGTTGTATGTGTGTTCAGATTTCCACAGCTGATAAACTTAATCTCCGTCCCCGGCAGCCCTACCTCTCAGTCATGCTGAACAAAGGCTCTCTGGAGGTGTTGATGTTTACCGGCAGCCACAGTCCGCGTCGTGTCATAAGACGAGCCGAGCAAGGCGCACTGAATGATGGGAGAGAGCACTCGCTGCGCATAGAGAGGCAGCCTGGCAGGTCAGAGTTTGTGTATGTGTTTTGTCCCTGTTGAAGACTTTTACTCTGCAAAATAAATGTAATATGTTTCTGTCGTTGCGTCCCATCAGATCTTTTGCAGTTCAGGTGGACGAGGAGGCCAAGAGGGAGGCAGCGCTCCCCAACGACCAGCCTGTGAGCCTGAAGCGCGTCTTCCTCGGTGGTATTCCTGCAGAAGTAGAGCAGACGTCCAACAGAGCCAACATCCCATTCCAGGGATGCATATGGAACCTCATGGTCAACGCTGTGTACGTAACATCTATCTCCTATCTCTATCTTCTATCTTCTCTATATCTGAAATAGGGCTGCTCAATTAATCGTAATTTAATCGTATTTTAATCGTATTTTAATCGCGATTACGATTATGGCTTGCAACGATTACGAAAACAACGTAATCGAAATAAAACGATTCTTTTCTTTTTTTCTTTTTTCAGTTAAATTATACTTGAAGTGGACCTATCATGCTATATTTGAATAATATAGTGTAGGACCATACCTATATAAGGCATATTTATACTTTTTATTTTTCAAAATACCAAACAGATCATGCATTTTAGCCATTCCTCATTTCGCTCAATTCAACACTGTCTTTGCATCATGGGCTGATTCTGTGAGAACAGCACCGTCTACAGGCCTGGCATATGTACTACAGCGTCTCCAGCGCTTTGGAACGGCAATGTCCGTGGCTGTCTCCTCCTGATTGGTGGAGTTGGCCCAATAGCCGTAGCGCCACTTCTGTGACGTCATAGAAGTGTTCAAATCTGGATCAGTCTGTATCAGATCCGTTGCAGCCCCTTTTTAAGAGATTTGGGTATGGAGGAAAAGAGAGAGGGTTGTGTTTTCTGACACTTGGTGAGTTCCCTGGAACACCGGGGACACATATTCATGTATAAAAGACGTATAAAAGTGCATTTTTCATGATAGGTCACCTTTAAAGTTCAGCGTAATCAACTGTTAAAAACATACTGTTCACACTTTTTTTCTTCAATAAATGGATGTTTTTTAGTCAATGAATAATCGCATTTAATAATCGCAATTACAATTATTGACCCAAATAATCGAGATTATGATTTTTGCCATAATCGAGCAGCCCTAATCTGAAATCAGGTGTATTTTTATTGAAGCACAGATAAAACTGCCTTTTTCTCAAAGCTGACTTATCGTAGAGCAGATTGTAGCCATGCACTGTTCATGTTTCCCTTATTAGATTTAATTGTATTAATTAAAATGTTCAATATTTTTTAGGGGCATGTAAATGCTTGTATTAGAACGAATAGCACGAACTAGAGAAGCTTTTCCTAAAAGCTTGTAACTCTTAGCAAGACAAGGCAAGTTTATTTATATACAGGGTGTCCGCAGGGTCTTAAAAAGTATTAAAAGTTGATAAATCTATTTAGCGGAAATGAAGGCTATTAAAAAGTATTAAACGGCATTTTC